TTAAGAAAACTAAGTATTTTCTTCGCACCTGAGCGGAAGGCTTTTCCTTTGTCTTGCTCTTTAGAAGTATTTTACAGTCGTCACTGTCTGTACAAGTCTAAAGCAGCTCCCAGGTAAAATCTCAGAGGTCTCACTCCTTTTATGAGACAGCTCAATAATGATTTTTTTCTCATTTAATTAGGCCCAAATGAAAATTTAAGGAAAAATTTCTTACACAGAGACAGTACCTATGATGTAGCTTTTTATGATGTAACTTGTCTTAATAAAGATGGGTGCATTCAGATGAATTCGTTGGTCCTTTTATAAGATAGGATATTATTTCAAAGACTCTGCAGCATGGCAAACATGGAAGGAGCTGTGTCATCTAGAATCTGGCACTTAGGCTTTGTTGTGCTAATGCTTTTTTGGGGTCTATAATTTCCCTCGAGGAGTGAAGATGCTGCCACTTCTTTTACCAGTTGGAGACTGAACCCAGGTGGCTGCATTCTGTGTGTCCAGGTGTCTCTGACAGAGTCCCACTGAGACACTGTCTTTTTGCCTATGTATTTATTTACTGTTTGGAAATATAATGGTGGGGGCAGGGAGAACTTGGCCTGTCTTACTAAAGTTTGGCATAAGATGGATGACTTTCTTGAATTCTTTTATATCAGAGTCCTTCCAATGGAATTTGGATCAAAACCGCAACCTATTCCTTTCTTCTTGTCTCTGATAACTAATGTGTGAGGAGCTACTGACAGAATGGCTGAGACTCTGGGAAATGTCAGGGAGCACAGAGGGAACTCTTGAGGAGGACACAACAATGTCAACAAACAACAAACAACAATGATAACAAAACAAGTAGTTTGGATCTTTGTTGAGGAAAGGGGTGGCACTGATCTCTTAGGAATCAATCATGGACCTGAAGGCCAACAATGAATCTCAGTCTCTGAATTCATCCTGGAGAAGATGCTTTGGAAAATACTGTCAACCTAAAGCCTAATATTCTTGGAGCCAAGCTTGTGTCTACAGACACTATCATTTCCAACAGTAATGAGTAGGAGAATGGAAATTCTCCTCCAAATTGACAGCTTGTTTAAAGACAGCTTTTTGGATCAAAGAAATGTGTTGGGATGACAGGATGTGAGAGACATGGCGTCGGGAATGTGTGGCTTTTCTTAGAGAAATTTGCTGTGCCTAAGACTTTCTGAAGCAGAAATGTAAGACAAGACCATTATTCCTGCTTTTTTACTATTTATGTAGATATGAATATAATGGAAATTGGTTCTCTGCTATGGCTGCAAGTATGATAGTAAAACAAACTTTTTCTTTTTTTTTTTTTTTTTTTTTTCATTTTTTAGAACAAGGGGATTTATATCAGAAATCATCTTCACAAAGGAAATTTTATCTGAAAAACGGGGCTTTTATTTTTGAAGGTGCCTTGTTATATTGACGGGCATTGCATTGTTATTGACATTTATATCAGATATTAATTAGGAAATTTAATTAGCAAGTGGACCTAATCTTCCATAAGTGCTCTAATCAGTTTACATGTATTCATATTTTTTTTTTAATTAACAAGAAGTAAAACCTTTTTTTCTCTTTCCGTAAACTGAGAGCAGCCATTCGGGGCTGAACAGCTGAGAAGGTGAGATTACTATTGTGAGGCTCCTTGAATGTCCAACGCTGTCTGTTAAGCATAGGCAAATATAAACTCACTGGGCTCATGAACCAAACACTGTTGTGTTTTAATTTATTCCTGTATAACAAGTAGTTTAACATACCGGTTGATGGGCTAACTCTGCTTTAGTTAAGCTAACGCAAGTGTTTTGTCTAGTAAAACACCATTCTCTAAGTGGTGAGGAACAGATTGCATCTTCCATTGAAAGACATCACCAGGGCAGTTAGTGATGTCTTCCCAAGGTCTTTGGCATCATCTGCCTTTAATAACATAGGGAAGCTCTGGATACTTCAAAGAATGGAGGAATTTCCGTAGCTTCAGAAACAGCTAAGTTGCACCTGTGTGCAGTTACTCATTCAACTCAATGTGCCCATTGTTTCTCATCTGTCTCTGAGCTAAGAAATAATAAAAAGTCTCCCTGTATCCAAGGAGGGAGAGTGGCTGTGTGTTAGCAGGTGACATGGATTTGTTCTGTTGTGGGCCAGAGTGTTAACAGAGGCAAAACAGATTATTTTCCTGCCACTGGTGGCCACTGTCAATGCCATACCACACTAATTTAGAGACGGAGTTAATTGAAAATAAATCCACATGTTTTAGTTATTGATTATCTAACCTCATTGAGGGAGCTGGCACATGGTTTAGATCTTAGTGGTAAGTCCTAAGTGTGGTTACCCACGCAAGGCAGTTTCCTGGAAACCAAAGTACCTTAAGCAATCTTCACCAAAGTGAACGCAAACCTAAAACTACTAAAGGTGTAGAGGGAGGCTCTTCAAAATGCAGTGTAGTGATATCAACAGCTACTGACTGTATATAAGATAGAGGAAGGGCGGGGTATTTAATGGGCTTGTGCATGCTCTTCCCACATGAGAGTGGGTATACTTTCTCAGGCTCTTTATAAGTTAGACAGGTCTGAAGTTAGTAGATTGAAGACTTCAAGGGTCAATCACTGGAGCTTCTGAGCTGAGAGTTATCGAATTGACAGCTAAAAAAATCTGATCTAACATCCTCATTGTAAAGTAAGGGAGTTGGTGCCTTTACCAGAAATTACAAAGTTGGTGCTTTGGAACCTAGGTAGATCCAAAGCTGTCCCTCATACAGTGTGTGCTTCGTAAGTGTCCACTAAGCTGAGTAAGATTCCTGAGGTCTTTAGGAGTCACCCTGGCATAGATTCCCCCCATCATAATTCTCTTGAATGTTCATGATTGAACCACAGTGGTGGAAATGTCTAAAAAGAAATTGTTTAATTGAGTTAAACTAGAGACTAGAATTTAGGAATAGATACTTTTCTGAGTTATAGAAAGGGTGAGTGTGGGACCAGAACAGTTAAGTAGGAGACCAGTAACAGAGGCCCTGTATGCAAAGTATTTATAGAGCGGAAAGAACAAGATGACTCGGGAAGAACCTACGGCTGCTATGTTCCACTGGAGCAAATGATGAGTTTAAATCAGCAGAGAATTGAGGGTGGTATCTAAGCTAGTTGTTCATTCCTCTGTGTCAGAAAAAGTCAGTGTAATTTGGCTGAATGAGGAGTGGCAGCCTGAGGACTCTTGCCCACACTCCTTCTCAGCTAGAGTAGTCCCAATAGAGGGTACAAGGGGGGAGGTGAAGGCATGGGTAAAATGCAAACAGCCTTGCGAACTTACAGTGCAGACTGGGAGTATTGGAAAGGAGTACCTGCAGGTACTCGATAACTACTCTAGTGCCATAAATAAAATCACCTTTGAAGCCCCAGAAAGAATTTTATCATTGTCATTGGTTTATCAGCACAGATATTGGTCACCTAGGATAGTTTCATACCAGTGATTAAACAATAGAATGGTTATTTTTTTTTTTTTTTTTGAAGTGGTGGTAGTTGGGGGCTGGAGAATTGGCTCAGTGATTAAAAGAGCTACCTTACTGCTAAGTTTGGTTCCCAGCACCTATGCCAGGCAGTTCATAAAACAAGGAAAATTTATTCCTTCCAATTCTAGAGGCTTATAAGTCTTAGCTCAAAACACAAACAGGCTTGGCATCCTGTGAGGGCTTCTTTCCTGGTTCATAGTCTCTAGCTATGTCCTCATGTAATGGATGGGCAATGTTGCTGTTTTGGGCCTCTAATTTTAGAGACACTAATACTTGGCATGACCTAATCAATTCCCACCCCCTAACACCTTCATCTATGTCATTAGGATTTTAACATGAATTTGGGGGCAAAGAAGACATAAGCACTTAGAACATTGCATTACTATAAGCCTGAATATGTTGTTTATTGGGTTTCATGTAACCATCAGATCCATCCTAGGAGTCAGGTCTCTTTGTCTCCTTACTTTAATTGGATATTTCTTCAAATATACCACATGCTTAAAAATAATATTGTGTATATCTGAGCCTGGTGGTACAGACATGTAATCCCAACTACTGAAGTAGCCAACACTGGAAAATTGCAAGTTCAAAGCCAGATTGGACAACTAATAAGAACTATATTTAAAAAAAGAAATGGAATGAAGATATGGAAATATAGAATGTTAAGAGTGTTTCTCTAGCATGTGCTAAGCTCTGTATTCATTTCCCTCTGTGTGTGTGTGTGTGTGTGTGTGTGTGTGTGTGTGTGTGTGTGTGTCTATGTCTGTCTGTCTCTTTGTGTTAGTGTTTGTGTGTCTTCCAAAACTGCAATGACTGAATATCAAAGAAATACACATGTACTATTATACCAAAGATATTTGTTACCTAGTTTTCTGTTACTGTAACAAAATACCTAAGACTAATCAATTTGCAAGAAAAAAAAAACAGTTGGTTTAGGTCCAATTTTCAGAGGTTCTTTCTAGTCAGTGGATGATTGACATGTCTTGGGGTCTGTAGCAATGCACTATATTGAGGAAGGAGTGGATAGTGGTATAAGCTGTTCACCTTGTGGCAGCCAGAAAATAAGAGAAACTGGACGTGACCCAGGTTCCCGCATCCTCAAGAGCATTCAATACCCTGACTTCATCCCACTAGGCTCATCTCCTGGTTGCACCTTGCACTGGGTCTAAGCCTTTAAGCATGGGCCTTTGTTGGACATTTAAACATGACAGAGTGAAAACCAAGTCTAAGTAATATTTTTCTTTGCTTGAAATCCTGTGACAATTCTTCCCATTGTGATCTGACTTTCATCACAGAGCTAAATCCTATCTCTGTGGTCTGGTCACTTGTGTGTCTCACTTGGGAAATCTTAAAAGGACAGGAGCTACATCTTAACCACTTAAATACCCCAGTGCTACAGCTGTAGAGGTTCTCTGCATGTGTTGCTTAGAGATTAAATGGATTGGTGGAAATACCATGATGTTGCTGAACACTGACTTTATTTTGTTTTTCCTTCCTTGAGGACTTTGGCGTTATGTTCCTGCACCACCTTGCAACTATTTTTTTGATAACCTTTTCATATGTCAACAACATGGCCCGAGTAGGGACCCTGGTCCTCTGTCTTCACGACTCAGCTGATGCTCTGCTAGAGGTAAAAATTTTTCCTTTATCCTGGCAAAGACAACATCCAGAAGTCACCAAAGTCCCCATACCAGCAATCCTATAGTGTGGTGGAAGATGCTTTGAAACTGCTGGATGTTCTTAGTGGGTTACAATGGCATGAAAACAGAGTAAGCTTTGTCAGCATCCTCCGGTAATGGGAAGCTAGAAGCCCTTGAATGGTTGATTTTATAACAGAAAAATCATTGTTTTAATAGATTTTCTTTTCTAAAAGTCACACTTATCTATTTGAAAACTGTATATAACCTAGTGTAGTAGTCATAATACAATTAAGCAGTTTGATTTTTTTTTGTTACCATTATACATATTATACTAGTGGTTTTAACAATGCAAAGGGTATATGAACCCTAAATTTTATGCCAAAGATTTGTAAGAATTTATCACTTAAGAATTGTGCTCAATAATGTTATGTAAGTCTTATCACTTTATGCTAAGAAATTATATAGCTGGTCAAAATTAACTTAAAAGATTACAGAGTTCATGTAGAAGTGATTCTTGGAGTCATTTTTCCCCTGCTGGACCATCATTCTATTGCTGCAAAGACAAAGGTTTCCTTGATGATCTGTTATTGCAATAGGAGCCACAAATGTATACATTTAATCTTTCATAGAGGCAGTGAGTTAAGGTTTTAAACCGGGTGTAAAACCTCATCAAGAATTCTGGCCCCTGAAGGTTATAAAACAAAGATAGTTTCTCTGCACTGCATAAGTTAGAAGATAGCTTGTGGCTATGATTAAGTGACTCAAACTAAACTTCAAGGTGTTTTTAAAAGGTGAAATAGATGCAATAAAAAGGAAGTCTTCTGAAATTCTATTATAGATTGAATTATCCTGTGTGCGCTTAGAAGTGGACATTTATGCCACAGCCTACACGTAGAAATCAATCCTGAACCAGTCGCCAATGTTAATTCCTGTAGAAATCTCTGGCATGCATCTTGGTTAGAGCTGTAGTACAGGAGATATTAGTTGAATCCACTACTTTCATTCAAAAAAGATAATAAATCCAAGAATCCAAGTATGTGGCTTAAAAGCAAAGGGATTTTATAACCTGGATTGTTTTTTGACATCATAGATAACGCTCGGAAATGTCCAATTAATGAAATTGAAAAATAGTGTTTACAGCATACACATCTCTGTCAAGTTGGTGCTGTTGCTTATTTGTCGCTACAGAAGAAGGCTGAAAGTACTTTTCATTTAATGTAATTCATGGTGTTATACTTCAAGTATTTGGGAAATTAAAATCTTATAATTTTAACTTCCATTCAGGTGATGGATATTTTCTCCTAAGACACATTTCTCTCATCACTTTGTGCACTGCTTAGCACCATTAAATGACTCTCTCCAAGGATGCTACCAACAGTCTTTTCCAGTAATTAATCTTCCAAGTCATAGAAAGTAATATTGTGTGTGCAGAAGAGATCTATAGTTTCTAAGAGTGCTTAGATGTTGTGGACTCTGCAAACCTGCAAGAAGTGAGGAAGGAAAAAAAATCCATTTCCAGGCCCACCTGGTCTTGGTCTGTCTTCCAGTCGTTTCAAAGTGGTAGTGGAGAGGAGAAAGGAGTGTGGTTGCCTCCCTGGACTAATTTATGATGTGTGCGTGCATGTATGTATGTACATATATAGTCACTGAAACTGCTGGCATCAGCATCAGTCATAGAAGTATTTCCTGCAGGCATTGAAACATTAATAAATTTTACCTAGAAAATGAGCCTGTAATATGGTTTGAAATTCTCCTGAAATAGATTCATTGACATGATAATCATGACACTTTCCTCATCTCAGTGTTTGTAAGAATAAGCTTGGAACACGTTTCCCCACAACACCTCTGTGATTGTTAAAGTGAGCACAAACCTCAAAGCAGATGGAAGGCAAACACAGAAAAGCTCTGGGGACTCTGTGTAGTCTGTGGCCTTGCATTTAGGGTGCAGTGAAGACTTCCCACATTGACCTGTAATGTGATTTCTGTCTTGACATCTCTGGCTTGCTAACATCACATAATGCAAAAGTTTGTTATTTGTCCTCTCTGTTTTCCTGAAATTAGCCATATAATTGAATTTTTCAGGTTACTAAATATGTTATTAAATTTGTGAAAGTCGTAGTTCTACATATAGTTAATGTGCATTTCACTCAACTTTTGAGTAATTTGTAAATGCTGGTGTGTGGCATGTGCCATTTTTAAGCAGCAGACATTCTTATGCGTGTGGTAAGCTATACCTCATTGATAAACCTCATTGGGGGCCCATGCATGTGAAGGAAACTTTTCTTTTATCATTTTAATTGATAAGTTGCATTCCTTCCTCTTATAGGCTGCCAAAATGGCAAATTATGCCAAATTTCAGAAAATGTGTGATCTTCTGTTTGTCATGTTTGCCATGGTTTTTATCACCACACGGCTGGGCATATTTCCTCTCTGGTGAGTATGTCAATCTTTCTGATAAAGGCAACCCCTCCACGGAAACTTTTCAAACATTCTTCTCCTGAATTATACTCTCAAGTCCTTCTTAAGAGATGCACAGCCCATAGAGAGGCAACTGAAGAAGCAGCTCGATGGTGCTGGGGAAATAGTCCTGCTGGGACAGTGTTTGCTTTGCATGCATGAGAACCAGAGTTTATTCCTCAGCACCCATGGTAACACGCTTGTAATTATAGCACCGAGGAAGTGGAAACAGAAGTATCCCTGGGGTTCCCTAGCCAGCCTGTCTAGCCTAATCGATGAGCTCCACAACAGAGACCCTGTCTCAGAGGTTGTAGATGGCATTTTTTGAAATGACATTCAAAGTTGTCATATGGCTTACACATGCATACACATATGTGCACCACAGACACATGAACACACCACACACACACACACACACACACACACACACACACACACACACACACACACAGCACTTGATATCATGTTTCAGGAGAGCTGTATACTTTACTAATACTTTGATGATATCAGGTGTGTTTAAGGTGGCATGACCATGGACAACTTTACTAATACTCTGTACAGCATAGTTAGAACGGGATGTGGCTTCTAAAGCTTCAGAAGCCCACTATTCTTTCAGACACTAGTCTAGAATATGACTTAAGGACCTCATCCACGGACGGTCTGAGTTAAAGGCCTTGCAGCCATAGGCCAGAAGCAGCAGAACTCATCGGGTGCACAGATTCCTGGGCTTTGCCTCAGCCCGGTAAGCCTACCTATCTGTGCCATCTTAACTCTTCAGGATGATTGTGCTACTTTAGAGTTTGAAAAACACTGTTCCAAATAAGTCTCTTCATCAGCTTATGCTTATAGCTAGCAAGAAATGGAAAGTATTTTAAAATAACCCTGAAATTCTTTGTGGCTCCTTAATGTCTAGGTGGCTTTTGTTTTGCTAAGAACTAAGGAGAAGGTGTAACAGAATGCTGGCATTTGACAGAAGTTTCTGGAGATGTATTGATCTGGGAGTGGGGAGAATGAACCCTCTAAGCCACTTTAAATCTACCATTGATGGTAGATTTTTTTTTCCCCTTCCATTTTGAAAGATCAGTTTGAGTGGGAAATTTGAACTGTGGGATGTGAGTAAAGTAGGAAAATGAAGATGTAATAATACTTGAGGATGCAGTAGTGTCTATAGAAGACTAACAGCCATAGAGCTGGGGCCTTTATTGGGTAGGTCTTTCATTAGGACTGTAATAATGAATTGTTGGCACAGCCACACCTTTTCAGCCACAAGGCAGACAATATGACTTCTCCTTGAGATTGACAGCCTTGTTTGGCAACAGACATTTATTAACCTTGCTATAGTTGAACATGAATGTAGGTTGGAAACACTGGAATAATTTTAAATATGATGCATCTATAATTATTTCAGGGTTGTGGGGGGGTGACTTTCAAAATTATTACCATAACTAGTCATAAAAACTCAAAGTAGAAATACAGCATTGAAGGGATGATTTCTCAAAATGATGGAAAACATTTTCAGATGAGTGAGAATCTCACTCTTGAAGCAGGCACCACTCGTGATTTGATTTACTGCTTCCCTTTTAGAGAGAGAGCTAAGATTTACATGTTTTCCCTACAGAAAACATGTTAATGCTCTTGGGGTTTAAGCACTGGTGAGACCTACAACATAGGCCCACAGAACAAAGGAATCCTACCTCAATGTCAGTGAGGGTACTCGCAGATAACAAAGGCCTGCTAGCTCCTTAGAAAAATCTCTGAAACCTAATATAAATGTCTTGCAAATATTGGGGAGCTGCTGCACCTGGGACCAAGGCTGTAGCCAAGCTTTTGAATAGAAAAATTTCTGTTTCTTGTAAGAAATAATCTTAAATTCACTACCATAACAGTTGTATAGTTAGTGACAAGAAATCTTCTTAGATACATCCAGGAAGTCAGGTTGGCACCTTGGTGATCCGTTTGATACTGATAACTACCCACAGTGTCATGGGCATCACTACTATTTCACCCTTTCACAAAGAGAGCAATAGCAATGTGTGTTTTAAATACTTGATATTGTGAAATTACTTTGAAACTTCTTTGGAATTAAATCACACTTTGGGAAAAGACCTTATCGACTGCAGACTCCTCCCTGATCCCTCTGCTTGTGATAAGTAGAGTCACTTTTCCAGGACAAGAATATTCCTTTTGACATCCAGGGGGAAAACTTACTTTCTTCTATCAAGTGACATCTGGGTCTTTATAACTTCTAAGCCACGGACTTCTAAGCTCAGTGTGAAATATTGTGAGCATTGCTTGCACATACTTCCAGGGTGGAGGACCAGTGGTTCCATCAGTTTGACAGCTGTGACTTCTTCTTTGCTCAGAGAAGTGCCTTGTGGAAAACAGAATAAGTGTCCATTCACCCAGAGTAGAAAGCTCTCCAGGGTGTGCAGGTTTCTAGTACATCTTCTGCAGAAAGTGTTTGTAAGTCCTTCAGCTATTCCTAGGTGTTGTTTCCCTATACTTGTTTCCCTGAATTCCTCCCAACATGATCTTCCAACCTCATCATGAGAGAGAACAGCACATATGATTTGGCACTCACCCACCTCATGCCATAGCATGAGCTTTAAGAGTGGCTTCCACTTTGCCCTGTGGTGACCAGTACACATGGGAGCTGTTTTACGACTCCCTGTCCTAAGGTCAAATCACTTTATACATTTTTCTTTTCAATGTGGTGAATTTACATACTCCATTACACAGCCTACATTTGTTCCTCTCAGAGTTTGCCCTGCTGTTTTCAGATACCATGCTACAAACCATACAGTGCCTACCCTTCCAGATTGGTGAGTTGGAAGAGACACCAAAGACAAATATTGACTATGGAAGGATTTCTTTAAGAACCAACAACCAAGCTTATGTGATTTTTTTTCCCTACTCACTATGAAGACTTCTGAGCTCCATTATTGCAGCCTCTTGCTTCCTCATACTTCTCTACTGTATACAAAAGACTGTGCTCAAAGTCCTGTGTAAATCAGGAGGACTCTTGTTTTAGGCACCTTTTGTGCATGTAGAGACTAGACTATTGAGGACAGGAAAATGGGAGTGGTTATGAACTCCTTTAATCCCAGTCACTAGAGCTACTGAGATAGGACTGACTACCATGTTCAGAGCCAACCTAAGTAACACCAAACCTTGATATCAAAAGAAAAAGAGAAGAGAAACAGAGGAGAAATCAGAATAAGCTAGGAATATAGCTTAGTGGTAGAGTGTGCTTGCAGAACATATGTGAGGCCCAAAGTTCAATACCCAATACTTAAAAAAGAGGGATAAAGTGAAACTCCAAAGATAGATTTTTTAAGGACCTTACCAATCTCATATGTGTGTTATTTGCCTCTTTTTATTGTATCGGCGTAAACTTTTAACTCAGAAGTCCTTCCATTTTCATGTATTTGGTGAGGAGTTATAAGGGCATTTATTAGGCAAGCGGGATGAGCAAATGTACTGAACTTTCAGTCAGATATGGGGTTGTCCTCTGAGCACTTCCCAGTTTGAATTCCTTCAGGTCCTGTCAGGACTCTGGTTTATAGTTTGAAAGAGAAAGCTGCATACAAGTTATGAGATGTTTTCATAAGCATTTAGGGTACATCGTAATATAAATGTTAAATTGCCTTGCTGCACATACTGAAGAGCTCTGTTGGCTAAATTATATATCAGACAGGATATATCAGGAAAAATACTAGGTTTTCTTTTTAAAGAGAGTAAGAGACAGTATATTCTGAAGCCAAATATAAGTTGCCATGGGCCAGGAACAGACCCAGGTTATCCGCAAACTGTATTCTAACATGGTAATCCTTTCATGAAAGTTTTTATTGTAACAGAACTAGGAAAATTATAAATTACATGAGTAGAGATATCTGGCAAGTAGGTTACAGCAGGCATTTGTGTTACAAGCATCAGATGGCTAGCTGGTAACATCTGTGACTTTCGGATTGCCACTTGGTATTTAATATACCAAGTGTTGCATATACCGAAGGATTCTGCCGGCTAAATAATATAGTGTGCCAGGGTGTGTCACATTGCTAGAATTCCTCTGCTCCTCACTCATCTGTCCAGCACCCTTCCAGAACACCACAGTATGGTCTTCATAGGAATCTTTTATTTCCTAGTGGCCACATTCATAAGTGATAGCCATTCAGGTAGCTCGTTTGTTTAACGAGCATATTCAAAATAAATCATTTCATGCACCAGTATGTTAAACTGGTCAATGCTGAAAATATTGAGCCATTTGAATTCTTTTACACTACATCTTTGACAGCTATATTTACATTGCCATTTGTTTTGTGTTTAGCTGCATTCAGAGTACTCACTCTCAACATTCAGCTAGAATACTGGATAGTACCATTATAGAAAAGATTTCTACCACAGCTTTTGGTGGGGACCATGTGCTACACGTTTCCTGATGTCTGGTGTCTGTTTATGTTTGTAAGCCTGCTGGTTGCTACTACTCATGTGAGCCACTTAATATTGCAGTTAGTAGGGACATTGAAATCAGAGTGTGGTCTCCAGTCTTGATTCCACTGCCTAATTTACTTAAGTGTGTTGAGCACTCACATCTTAACACAAAGGAAGATCCCTGTTTCATCATATTGCTGCACTAAATGAGTTAATTTACCTACAGAGTTAGGACAAATGTCAGACTGCTAGCCATTGCTTTGAAGTCTTAGATTTTTTTTGAGTGACATGATTTGTTTGATATGAAAAGAGAAACCTTTTAGAAGTAAAAAAAAAAAGCTCCATTGCTCACTGGCAATATTGGGGGTGCCTCTAATGAAAAGAGTTCAGGAAATTATAAATGAGTAAAGTATAAAACGACATCTGGTTCTTCTCTGGAAGTCTGCTAGGATTCTGGTGTGAATCCATCCAGGCCTGGGCTTTCTTTGTTGGAGGGCTTTTCATTGCAGATTCAGTCTCCTCTCTGTTATGGATATGTTTAGGCT